AAAGGAACTTTACCATGATATTAAGTAAAGCATAATACACCTGAAGAACCATGTCACTCAATAAATACCTTTGACTTTCCCCTTATAAGAACACCTCGTTTGAAACAGTAATGGTGCTTATATATATTATGGTATATAGTGATCGCAAGTGAAAAATTAGAAATCTGCTATTTGATAGACAATTACATAAGGCAGAAAGATAATTAAGACTGTATCTAATACACAATTATCAGAAATCATTAAAAAACTACGGTTCACTCCAACTGTCAAATAAGCTTTTTAATTTTAACACAAGGAAACTATGTGAAAAATGTCTAAATGTCTACAGATAAGATAAAACAGAAATTTAAAACCGTTACCCTTTCTTATGTTTACTTCTTGTGTATAATAAAGTTTAGGCCAAAGTAAAAAACACTGAATAGTTATGCATTACTTCCAATGAAAACTATCAAATGGACCAACATTTAATTAATTGATTTCACTTTTGTTTTTTACATTACATAATAACTATGATGGCCATGAAAGACATAACTACTAAGAAAAATGTTAATATCTTGAAGTGACTTCCAGAAAGCGTCAAAGTGTGTAGAATACTGGCATTAAGCAAGTTGCAATAATTGTTTCTTGATGAACTGATTCAAAAAATCAATGAAATTTTTAAATTCTTGATAAAAATAATCTCCATAGTTGAAGGATATCACGTCCTTCCAATAGAATGACGTACTTCTGAAACAGTAAATGCATGTAAAAGCTATGTTAAATTACCGATTAAGAAAGACGTTTTTTGATTGGACACTAATCAACAACTAATACAATGTGTCTAGTCCTTCTTTTAGTGGGGAGTAAATTCTATCAGCCAGGCTTGCAATGTGGCTGATAGAATTCAGTCTCCACCAAAGAAAAGATCAGACATATAACACTAGTTACTAACTAGTATGCAATCATAGTATCCAATACAGTCCTACAGGAGGTCAATCACTAGCCCGAATAGCTCAGTGGTAACGTGTCTGACTGCAGCACTGGGTGATGCCGGTTCAAATCTCAGAAGGGAAATGAGTTCCTTCAAGGTTGAAGAGATACTTCCTGCTGACTGGTGAGTACCAACTAGCACGAAACCTAGGTCAGATGAAGCTTCCTGTGGCCGTTTGCCTCCAATCATTTAATACCAAAGAAAGACGTCAGTGGCTAAGGAATAAACTCAATATAATATATTCATGTAGGTTTGAGAAATCTTAATTCACTTGAATGTGTTTACATAAACAATATTTTTTCGCAGTTTACTCCTGTCATTGATGTCCTGTCGCTTTAATTAACTATAAGATCTTGGTTCTTTGACATCACCTGCAGCTGATCCGGCTACACGACTGCCAAAAGGTCTTCATTTTCTCTTCTAATTATCTCCACCTTGACACCCTCAAACCCTCAGCTTGTTGCTTTTCGTATGGCTTCCTTTTAAGAGTCTACATCCAGTTCATCTTCATTTCGTTTCTCATATTTCCTGGGCAACAAATCCTCGACTGGTTCTCTTAGGACTTCATTTATGTAGAAGCAAAAATTAAACTTTCTCTTTGTCAATAAAAATTCAAAGCATTCTCAGAGTGAACTTACACTTTAAAATAAACATTAAATAACCACATGGAATATTTCAAGGAAACTGATGAGTGTTATTACCAACCAGATCCTCGAATATAACCCAAAAGGAAAACTAAGAGTTGAGTGTCCAAGGAAAATATAGAGTAGATCCCGACAGTCAGCTAAATAGGACTGAAGAAAATGTGGTGAAATGGAGATGTGCTGTTGAATCCCTTTGTACCATTTGGAACCCAAGATAATATTGATAATAATAATAATAATAGTGAAATATGTCGGTCTTCCTTAAAGTAATGTGTTTTAAATAGCTTAAAGTTACTACAGCTTTGTTTGTACATTGACTGTGATAATTATCTATGAATTTCACCAGGTTTATTGAAGATACATCAGCTGATTTAAAATGCACACCAATTTTTTTGAAGATAGCAATGGTAACTAATTAAAATGCTGTTATTATTATGCAGCTAAGGAAATGAATTCTTAAGTCGTCTATAATCGGAAGTTTCAATCTAACGACCCTAAAATTTACGAGATATGTAATATATTATCAAGAATATGTATTTTAGCTTTAAAACACTTTTGAACGCTTTATCACTTAGCAACCGAACTTAATTCATTTTCAGTTTACACTCTTTGTTCTACTCAACCAATGAGAGAATACCTAGATGAATAGGTTTCAACCTTAAGGGGTTTTTAACGAATTTCTTGAGTTTAATTTTTATATAACTTTAAATTTTTCTCACACTTTGTTAAGTTAACAATGTACTATCTTTTGACACAGTTAAAGTTAAAAACAGTTTATTATTTAGTATGAAATTCAGTCGTTAAGATATCAGTTCTGTAAAATGCTGTACAAGGTTTGAAACAGAGGTGAATGATTTCAACAGGAAGCTTGCACTGGTATTTCTAGACAAAATCTTCACTACAAACTCCAAGATAAAGTGAGCTTTTAAAAATTCTCCACTGATGTGACAACTACCTGTGTTGATGAACTTCAACTTGACGGGAGTCTAGTGAGAAGTCGTAACCAGTATGGAGCAGCCAGTCGGATGTGAGGACAAATACTCGCCGAAGACATTGGCTAAGGGTCGCGCTATGTCGTGAATTGGCAGAAGTTAGAATTCATGGGCTGGCCACTGGATCGGGTCCCAGTGGCTTAATAGTATACGAGCTCGCCTTGTAACCAGAAGGTCCTGGGTTCGAACCTAGTTGGGGTGGGTGCGTACTGATGAAGAGCCCCAAACTAGGACGAAACAGCTTTCCAGCACTCCCAGGTTTTCCAATGGTTCTCTAATTAATGTCAGCTCATGATGAAATCCTGGAACTTCAACGTGATTGGTTGTCTCGACAGATTTACGCATTTCCTTGCTTACCTGTATTAACACTAGGTGTATAATGTAATTGATACCAACATAAGTAAACAAGACGATGAGAAAGTACGCCGAAAGAACCCGTCGTGTAGAAGAACATCGGGAAAGGCATTCATTGAACGAATGATGAATTGTAAAAGCTCACCTTATCTTGTAGTTCTCAATGGAGGTGTTGCCTAGTAAAACGCTGAAAGCTCTTTGATTAAATCATTAGGCCTATAAAACACAACTACACAGGAGGCAACAGAATGAATTGGCGATAAATACATCTTTAAATAGAAACGAAAACTATCTTGGTTCAGAATCTAAGCTTTCTGAACGGCACCAATACAAACTGAAATCACACCAAATAAAAGTCATCGTATAGGGTCGCTGACGGTCATCAGAACTCACTGGTGACTAGATTACAACGCAGAAGCCGAACGGTATTAAAGTGGCTTCTATATCTTCAGTAAGAGAGTAGTTATGCAATGCAACGCAATATTACAGTCTTTTCCACTTTAATTGTCTACGGTTCTATAGTTGTTGCAGGTTCCTGAGGAAATATATCCAGTAGTTTGTGTTTCGAATAATTTTCCCCTTTCACCAATCACTGACTGACTTCGTGCTTAACTTTCATTATAGCTACCTCAGTAGTTACCGTCTAGTCTTTAAAGTCTGAAGTGATTACTAACAAGACCATATTTTTGTCGAAGGTGATTACGTTACAGATAAAATTTTGGTTTACTGCCCGTCAACAGCCATTCACTTACCTATAGGATAGAACTTCAAAACTTAAACAAACTAAGTGTTCTTCACTAGGGTGGAAGATATTTTGTATTCGACTTAGTTAAATCACTAAAATTGAAACAGACAATGTGATTCTGTTAAATACCGAATGACAATCACCGCGATAGAACTCACTAGGAGATTAACAGGTGAAGTAATCAGTTACTTCCAGCGTTTTATATATTTGTGATCCGTAAGAGGGTTTAACGGTGAACTTCTAGTTCTTATTCAGAGATAAAAGTATTAGCGTTGCATTCTCATATATTTCTTCCAGTTTACGAATGTATATTAGTTCATATAAATTACAAATAAAAATTAGCATTGTGACTTGAAAGACTTAAAAATAATAACAGCTTTATTCCAAACAGTATTTGTGGTAAATGTATGGGATTTTCAGCGTGCATTACAATATATTGCATCTAATTACCTCATAAATTTTATAAGATTTTAAAATCAAAAAGCATCACCCAAAAAAATAGATAAATAAAAGAAATAAAAAGAATAGCATTGCGTTTACATTTTAAACAATGCACCACAGAATATGAAATATAAAATTAGTGTGTAATAGAAGATGAGAACAACAGTGTAATAGTAACGAGGAAAGGAAAACAAAAACTAATGGGACTATTTGTTAGAGTGCCGCAGTAAGTTGATCGTGTCATACTTAACGGATTTCTCATCACATAACAGCTGTGCCAGATAAGGTGTTGTGGAGTACTTGGTGGTCCTAGCATATAGCCTCTTATAGCTGCTTCTAGTTCTACCAGATGAAATGCAAGCAGACGGCTGCGTATAGAGAGGATGTTCAGGGTCTGACAATATTGTATTCCCTAGTTTCTTATATGACATTATATGTCTATCCACAATAGTGTTAACCAGTTGGTTTAACGATATCTCACTTGCCCTACTAACGGCTTTTAGTGCCCTTCTCAGCAAAGCAAAGTCTTTCTTAAGTAGCCCAAGGAAAGATTAATAGGGAGCAGTAAAGAGGGATGGGTAGAATACAAGAATTGACAAACTGAGAAAGCAAAGACTGCTTTATACCAGACTGCCCTAACTTCCTAACGTAGAACGTTAACCGAAACATCTTTCTAGTAACTCGCAAGATGTGGGAGGACCAGGAAAGATCGGTGGAAAAACTCAACCCAAGGTGCATGACATTAGATGTATCTTCAACCTCTATGCCGTCAATTATGGTTGATACATCTTTTTAGTTTAAAATCACAATCTCGATAACCTATTTTTTTTCTTATTATCCCTCCTATACTCTAGCCAACACCTGGAATCCTTATATGAATCTCAAAGCTACTTACCAATCTGTGAATCTGTCTACAATATGACGCAAGTATTCATTGTACAAGATGGTGTCGTTTTCAAGTTCAACCGATGATGTATTTTAATCATCTCGGCTTACAGAAAATAAAAAACAGCACACATCTACGCTCAATCATCTTTTCTGTGCAAAAAAATTAACCCAGTCTCATTCAAAACTGTTTTGTATAATCTTCATTATGCTTTTATAACTTCTCAGTTATGTATAATTCTATGTAAATTATTTATTTTTTTTTTATTTCTCCTCATTTTACTTTACATATCTCTATTCATATCATTATTTTGAAGCTTGATCAACGTTTTTTTTCGCAATCACCCAAACAAAATAAGTTTAATAAAAGTTCCCACCTGTGAACAATCAGATGGATGGAACTTGTGTACACATGATGGAAAAAAACTGTCATCAGTGATAATGATGATGATGAAGATGACGATGATGTATTTACGTAGGCATATTTTTTTTAAAATTTTACCAGAATTATTTTGAAAAAAATTTCGATTTTTTTTCTGTAAAAATTTCTCTCTTTTTTGAATGTTTTTCCTAAAAGGAAATGAATTTTTGGATTTAAAAAAAAACAATGTTCTCAAATTTTTCCTCTGATCATGATATCATCAAAATCTTGGCTAAAACACTGAATAATTAATGGCTAGTAAAACTCACAAGTTAAAATATACAAATGAATCATGTCGGTAACTTTTCAAAGGATCCTGCATAGTTTTGTTATTGTCATTCAAGAGTTTATTTATAAAAATCAGTGAAGACGATTATAGCACTGACAGCTAAACAACGATCTAGAGATGAATGAGATTAGTATATGCAAAATAGATAGAGCTTTTAATATATATGTGAAACTTTGGCGTTGTGGTAGTAGTCGATTCCGTATTAGTCTTTTTATTAGATATATAACACAGTATAAAACAGCATTACTTACTGGATGAATAAGTTTCGAACACAATTTATTGTTCATAATCATACCATCAATTGTAATCAAACGACTTCAAAACTTGAGTTTTATAGGTTTCTCCATTCTTTCCTATTTATCGTAGGAGTAGTAGAATCCTGTAGATGTCCATTTGGACAGGTGCTGAATCATTCCTACTACACGTGTTTGCAGTTGATTTGATAAATACAGCTCCCGTTATCAGTCTCTCCCCCTACCCTGTTACAGTAGACTTTAAAACTGTCATCTTATCCCATCCAGCCTATTGTATGGTTGTGTGTAATTACATGTAGTAACATAGCTGAAATATTCACTAGATTTCTTAACATATTAAGATCAACTAATCTAGATTTTGCTAGGTTTTTATGCTCTGCTAGTCTGACTGCCCCTGATCTACTACTCTGACCTATATATCTGACCTGACGATCATTCTGGCAGGGTATTAGATAAATTAAATTGTTTTATTTTAAAAGCTCTACAGGATCCTTTAACCAACAAAGCTTGTTGGTTTGAATATCACTTCTATTCCTGCCTTAATAAGAATTCTGCGTTGGGTTTCTGAGGTTTCTTCTGTGTATGAAAGTACTACTAATGATGACTTAAATTCCTTATTGTTCGTGTTGTCATTATCCTGTGTATGTTTGACATGCTTGTTGTCATTAATAATATTATTATTATCATCCCTATCATTACCATTATTATTAGCATTACTACCCCTACGATAAATAGGAAAAAATAAAGGAAACTATGAAACGAAAGTTTCGAAGTTGTGTGGTTATAATTGTTATGATAATGAATAATAATTTGTGTTCGAAACTTTGTGATCCATTAAATAAGACTGTTTCACTGTATGATATATCTCAAAAACAGACCAATACGGAATTAGATAGGGCTTTTATTTAACACCTATCGTTTAACCAAACACACATCAAACAGTGGATATGTATAAATGTATTAATGACTGATATTCTTAAAATATATGTGATTATAATCATTTTTCAATATCAAGTGATAAAACAAATAATGTCATATATGAAACATTTCATAGAATGGGTGGATCTCAGAAAAAAATCTGAGATTAATGGCATTATTAGTCTAGTAGAACATTAATTAAAACAGTGGGAAGTTTGATAAAATAGATTTTAGCATTGCAAAAAATACATTAACTTAAAATAATAAATAGGACAAGTAGTATAATACTAGAAACTGTTCAAAAAGGAAAATGAAAATAATAACAATCGTAATAATGAGGTGAAGGTATATGGACTGAATAAACGAAATGAAAAACAAATACATAAGGAAATGCACATCCCCCTGCAGCCAAGGAAGAAACAGAGACTGTGTGTACTTCATCACTGAACAAATGTTTGGCTTGAATTTAAATGAATGGCCAAGAATTTCTCTGTCTTTATGAATTTAGAACGATAAAACTGCGTAAAATTAGCATGAATTCAATAGATGATCTTAAAATCATGATCAGGGTCGGTAGAGTGACGGAAGTCGGAATAGAGCTACTTACACCTTTCCCGTTTCCTCTATAAAACTATGATGTAATGTCCACTCCTGTCTGTGTAGAAAGCATTCTTCGGTTACCGCCAATGTAACTTGTTCCTAAGGAGCTAGCCAGACGATAGATACACATAAAGGCGGCCTGACGAGGAAGCTAATCTTCTGTAGAGATGAAGAAAAACTTACAGCTGGTGAATGTCAGTTGAACTTTAGCTGCAAATAACTTCTTGCTGACTGATTTGGAAAGAAAATTCCTCAGCATACCAGAATCCTAAACACCTATGAATTCCAGATTCATGGAGATGATTTTCTCTGAAATTAAGTTGGTGACCAGTTTAGAATGTAAATACTTCATGATTTTATCAATGAGTCGGCTTGAATAACTGTTTCCAACAAACATGGCTTTTAGGAAAGAAAGTTCAGCATCCGTGAAATCAGAATTATAAATGCATCTGTGGTGATTGACAATTTCTATCTCTGTATTGTTTAAGTACTCACTGTTGACTGTTAATATGTTTCATATATGAATTGCATTAGAATTCCGCTAAATACAAATTCCTGAATTCCGCCCTCTCTGTGTTTTGTTTGCATTCCTGTAATTCGATCATCTCGAAATACCAATACTACGATTACAAATAATTACAACAAATTGGCGTCGCGATGGAACTAAATAACCTGGGAAAATTTCCTCTTAATGGTTCTCCACGGGAGATTGCTGATTACCTTGAATGCTTCGATGCGTGGTGCATTTCAAAGAATGTTCGGGATGACAAAATTCCAGCACATTTCATTACTGCTATTGGGCTAGATGCATATAGCCTAGTGAAGACTCTGTTGTTTCCAGATAAACCAATTTCTCTGCCATATTATAAACTACGTGAACTTCTGATAGATCACTTCCATATAACTACTTTTGAGACGCGAGAGAGGCCTCACTTCAACAAACTGGTTCGTGCTCCCAACCAGAAGATTCGAGAGTTCATTATTCAACTTCAAATTCAAGCTTCAAAGTGCATCTTTGGAGATCAGCTGCATACTCAACTACGTGATCGTCTAATTGCTGGAATCAATATTCCTAAGTTAGAGAAAGAGTTAATTCAGATTCCTTCTTGTACCTTTCAAACTGCTAAAGATTTATGTATTACATATGAAGATGTCAACAGTGAATACTCTGCTCCCACTACGTCAGTATCTGATATCATGCTTTCTAAAGTCGAAAATACAAGTGTTCATGGAAAGAAATCCAAACTGTCGTCCACAGGTAATAGAATGCAGCGAGAGATCAAAAACATTAAACCGTGTTTATCCTGTGGAAAGTTACATCTACGAAGCACTTGCCGTTTTCGGGGTGCTAAGTGTCACAAATGTGGTAAAGTTGGACACATCAAGACTGTTTGCAGAAGTTCGAATACTTATGTTACTCAAATTCTTATAATTCTCCCAATCTGTCTAGTAAAATGGAGTCAATGTGTCTTTCAACTTTTCAAAATACTCAATCTCATCCAATGAAAACCTCCACTACAAGTTCAGCAACTCAAGCGTCAACTGTTTCCAAAAATGAGGTAGCCGAGTTACAATGCGAACTGTCGAAAACACGAAAAAAAGTGAATGAGATGAGAGAGCAACTGATTAAAATGGAGGAATTGCTGCATATGCATAGACTGCGTCTGTTGAATGCAGAACATACAAGTACCCATGAAAGTCCTGCAAAACTTTTCAAATCTCGAATTCTCAGAAAGCATCTGATGTCCACGACTTCTAATGTACATTATTACAAAGGAATGACTACAGACCTTCTGTTGGAATCATACTACAAAAAATGGGAAATCGAGTGGTGAAGATATTAGACATCAAAGATCACTCAGTTCATAACGAACACCTGGACAAAGTGACAATAAATGAAATAATTCAGAAATAAGTCCAGATAACAGTGATGAAGATAATATCACAGAATCAGTCAGAAGGTCGCAGCTACTTGCAAGCAAACCGAGACATCGTTATAAATACGCAAGGAGATATTCGACGTGTGGCGGATGTGGTGATTGACAATTTCTATCTCTGTATTGTTTAAGTACTCACTGTTGACTGTTAATATGTTTCATATATGAATTGCATTAGAATTCCGCTAAATACAAATTCCTGTATTCCGCCCTCTCTGTGTTTTGTTTGGATTCTTGTAATTCGGTCATCTCGAAATACTAATATTACGATTACAATAAATTACTACAGCTTCTTTTCTTATAGCAGAGGGAATAAATCAGGTTACTTTTCCTGGAAACGGTCACCCAACTACAGAAATTAGTTAGCTTTCCACTTCACGTACTTGTTCGGTGGACTGACCCTTTAGGAAATCCTTCATTATATTACTGAGGAACACAAAAAAATGCTTAGTTTGGATTATTTTTCTATTTTCAGTTGTAAGGAAGGATGACAGTTGTTGGATAAAAGCAAAAGTATTAGATCCTTGCAACAAATAACGAAATTGTTATCTACATATCTTCTATGAGTATCAAACCAACCAGTAAATCAAATCTTGACTACAGTTCATTTGATTTATTTTGTAATCGAATTAAATTAACAAAGAAACTATGTAATTGGCACAATCATCGTGTTTCCACTCTCCGTTGTCTGCAACAGACTGCGTAACCTAAATTCGTAGCTGTCCAGTCACCTGACAACTTCAGTAGGTCGTATAAAGCAGCTCAATTTTCAGAAAGAAGACAAAGTAATAAGTTTGACGGGGTTGTTCAACTAAACTCTACTCCTAAACACCATAATTTTGAAAATACGTCTAATCATAAAATTCTAGATACTAACAGTTTGAACAGACATGAAGGTGTGATGTTAGATGACGCATAGGAAATCCTGATTAATAAATAAGAATGGATATGTATCACTAACTAATAATACTTGGTCAAAGTTCCTGACTGTCTATATCTACTTATGGAGACGTTAAGACATTGTTTTACAACTGTTTATCCGCACACACACACACACACACACACACATACACACTGTGTTTAGAGTGTTTAACAAAGGTAGATCAATATTTGTAAGTCTGAGGTCAAATTTTGATCACAACTCGTACAGTTTTGTTTATTATACTTGTTAACATTTGTTTTATAAATCATGATTGGACAGAGTTTTTAAAAACTAAAGATGTTCCTTTTATATATAAACACCTGTTATGTTAATTTCGATTAATTTCCCTGAAGAAGTTCGGACCAGATTACCGAACGAAACGTTGGAA